TATACAAAAAAGGCAGGTGATAGATTTCTCCCCCACCCCCTTAATTGGGATCCCATCTCCCCTCAGCAAAGAGACTGTCTTGAATTCCCCTTCACAGAGTCTGAAATATGGGCTGCTGTAAAGGATCTTGGTCACAACAAAACACTGGGCCCGGATGGATTTACAGCAGAATTCTATAAAAAAATATTGGAACATTCTGAAAGAAGATATCCTTAGAGTGTTCCAAGATTTTTTTCGAAAGGGCATTGTAAATGCTAGCCTCAACGAGACCTACATCTGTTTAATTCCAAAGAAAGTTGATGCACGATCGGTTAGTGACTTCCGACCTATAAGCTTGATCTCTTGTATRTATAAGATCATAGCTAGAGTCCTTTCTGAGAGACTTAAGAAGGTTCTGCCATCTACCATTTCTCCCCAACAATCAGCTTTTGTGGCCGGCAGACAAATCCCTGATGCCTCCCTAATAGCAAACAAGCTCATCGACGAATACTTGCGGAAAAAGGAAAAAAGAGTGGTGATAAAGTTAGACATTGAAAAGGCCTTTGATAAGGTTGATTGGGACTTTTTGGATGGTATCCTTGCAGCAAAAGGCTTCAGATCCCGATGGCGAAAGTGGATTAGAGGCTGCATTTCATCCACCAACTTCTCTATCATCATTAATGGAAAGCCTAAAGGTAAAATTAAGGCCTCCCGGGGCCTTAGATAGGGTGATCCCCTCTCCCCTTTCCTATTCATCCTTGTTGTTGATTGTTTTAGTAGAATCCTCTCCCATGCAGCGACATCGAATCTGACTAAAGGTTTCCTGGTGGGGCAATCTCAGCTGGAAATTCACCACCTACAATTTGCAGACGACACTATCCTTTTCTCATCACCAGACAGTGACCATCTTAAAAATCTCTTTTGTACCATCCAAACCTTTGAAGAAGCTTCAGGACTGAATTCTAATCTACAAAAGACGGAATTGCTGGGTATCAACTTGAAAGAAACATAATTGGATCTCTTGTCCAACCGTTTTGCCTGCAAAAAAGGAACTTGGCCAAATTCTTACCTAGGTCTCCCCCTAAATGGTAAGTCTAAATCAGCT